ATTATATATTCGAATCAGTTCGAATTGTATCAAATTATATATTCGAATCCGTTCGAATCAAATTATATATTCGAATCAGTTCGAATCAAATCGAATCGAATTTCATTGATTCGTTCGGAGCCTTAGAAAACAACCATATATAACCAAAAAAAAAAGATGAGTCAGTAAAATTCAATGATTGGATTAACAAAAGAGTGATACAATATGTTGCTTGCTTAAAGGAAGAAAGGTTCATATATTAAGAAAGTATAAAAAATAGGTTCAAATTCATTATATAAATGTATTGTAAGATAAATTATTTGAAAAAAGTGATAGAATAAAAATGAAAAACTAAAATGGTGATTGATAAAAATGTTGCAGAAATAAAGAATTTTCTAGAAAATTATGCAGAAGTCCATGGTTTGCCAAGTCCAGGAAGAAGTAACAATAAAATAACTCAATCAATTGTATTCTTACCAATTGAAATGGGTTATAAGTCAGTGCACAGAGATTTTCTAGTTGGTCTAGAAGAAGGTAGTAATTTGAAATCTTTGAAATATAATGCATTCAGAAAATTATGACATCAATTGACACCAGAAATTCAAATTATGAGTAAGGTTGTGGGTGAAACCTCCTTAGTAATTGCTGAAATCATAGCAAAACTATATTAAATCTTATCAAAAATCCTGTTGAAAATATGCCAAAATGGCGAAACCTCAAAATGCAAAACTCTCCCGAAACTCTAATAAACAGGAAAATTAATATAAATTGAAAAAAGAAAATTGAATTATTTAAAGATCAACTTCATTTCTGGTGATGGGTTTATCGTGATTCAACAATAAAAGAATTTCAGCATTACTTGTTTCTATTTTTACCCACATTTAAATCTTCAAAATTAAAACTCTGTACCAAAACCTGTCTTATCTAAAGGTCGTTCGTTCTACATACCAATATTGATAAACCTATTTTGCTTCAAACTCAGGTACTAAAGCGCGTTTTATTAATACTATTGCGTGTTACTATTATTACGCGTAGTTGACAACTTAAAAGTCAAAATTCGAAAAAACATAAATTGACATAACTCGTATGTATGTAAAAGTTCTTCTACATACCAACATTGACTTGTCTATGTGTGTTTTAAATTCAAGCACTAAAGACAATTCGAACGCGTTTTGATTTTTTTTTCATTTTATGAAATGTAATAATAAAAGAAGAAATAATAGTAATAGTAATAGTTTTAATTCGTAAAAAAAGAATATGCATTTTATTTTCAAAGAAAATACACGGAAAAATTTTTTAATTAGTCGAACTTCACTTTATTCGCTTAACGATTCAGAATAACCAATATCTAGCACCCACCATAATTGGATATAAAGTAATTTTATTTCGTAAATTAATCAAGATGATTACGTACAATATACAAATTAAAAATGTCAAATATATATACAGACAGTCTAACCCCAAAGGAAACATACCAGTCGTAAAAACCAATCGGTTTGTCATGTATATAACACTAAAATCATACTTACCGGTCTGATTATCTGAAGGTGATAACAAGCCCAAAGTTGTAATCTACTAATTTATCAAATTAAATCACCAAACAATCATCCTCTTCCGGGGTGGTGACTTATCATTGTATTTTTTTCTCCCTATCTAATTTCCAAAAATGTAACTCGCTTAGGAATGGAAATGATTGGTTTTTTTTAATACATATCCAAAAAAAAGAATATACCAAAGATGTGAAATTTTGCATATATAATTTGATGACCAATATTTTTTATTTAATTATTATTAAGCATGTTTTTGTGCAAATTTTGTTTAATAATGCGCCCGACTTTTTTGTTTTTGTCCAGGGATTATGCATTATGTATTACATTTTCTCTCAACTAAATATCAAATATGAATAGGAATGTACGCATGCAAGGAAATATATGTCATATCATTAATAGTTTCAATCAGTTCATTTCTATAACAATGTTTTCCATATTGCACAATTAACGTTTTTTTGAATAATATCTATAACAAGAGGTGAGATTAAAGTAACATCATTGTGTATATGTATATATATATTCTGGACGCTCAGCAAAGTATCCTCTTTACTATAAATTAATTTACACATGATCCTCTTTTTTTAGTGGTGTCAAAATAACCTTTGTTGATTTACGAATTTATATGCAAGATCTAACTACTGCAGAACGTTTTATTTACATTGATGATGAAGTGCCAGTACAAGAACTAACTGATGAAGAAATTATTAGAGCAGTGAAGCCAAACCTTGAGGTTAACAATTCTGATGAGGAGGAAGAAGCGGAAATGGTATATAGTTCTTAGATAGTTTAGACACAATTAGTTACCAAGAATTAAAAACAATTTATAGTTTAGAATCAAAAATTCATAAACGCATTCAAGATAATGAAAACAACTTACACTAGACAGTTTATATACATATATGTGTGTGTGTGTTGTGCATGAATTTGTATAAAAAATTCATCTCGTTATAAGGGACTTTTCAATTTATTTATTATAAAGAGATTTTTCTTTATAGTAGAACTGAGTGACCACTATAACTGTAATTATTATGATGCACCGTGCCTACTACACTAATATTAACGTGTCCAATTTTTTACAAAAGTGTAAAATATTCAGGCGTTCTATATTAAAACTATTATGTGTGACATAGGTCAATTGGGAAGGCCGTAATTATACTGTATATCTACTCTTTAGAATATTCTTCAATTATGCGAAACATGGTGGCACTTAATCCATGTGGCCGTTAATAATGACGATTTTGTATGTGGAAATGAAATCTATACGCGAAAAATTAAATTGACAAATCAAAAGGAAATTCAATCGCGTGCGTTTTATTAATTTATTATCATCATATTAAAAAACCCATTTATGGGAGCGATCATCAAGGATATTATTATCATTCATTTTTTTCTTTTTAAAGAAATTGAATGGAACTGACATTTTTGTTTAGGAATTATTATTATTAAAAAAATGTCGAACAAAAATATAGGTGAGTTTACTGACGTCCCATTTTGAACATAAAGATTAACTCCAGTCCCAGTCCCGGAGATTATGATGAGAGAAAAAAGCACAGAATGGTAACGGGGACCAGAGCTTCTCTTATTCTGCATCTGAGCCTCTTTGATTCTCAAGGTAAGTTATTCTTGGTATTTTGTTTTATTTTTCTATGTGCATTTGTCAATCATAGAGGAGGACTCGATTAAAGTTTCGCAAATATATATGATAGATACAGTTGTCGTGTCGCTTGAATCCTGGGTTTCAAGATTTTTCAATCTTTCTAACCAGGGAGTTGCCGTGGTAATGAGATGGACAATTTAATAATTCTGACACCTATATCAATCCATTATTAAATTTTTTTTTTTAAACACTGGAATTCATTTCCCTGTTGATAGGAATACATGCTGTTGCCTTGAATTTTTCAGGTGAATTTACAGGCCCATCCATACCTCCTTCACGTAGTAATAGAATGACTTTTTCTATATTGAGCGTGTTGGATTCTTCTGGATGGTCTTTGCTTTAGAAACATGGGAGATGCAATTTTTTGTTTTTTTTTTTTTTAGAATTAAAAAAAAATATATAAAGAAGAAATCATGTCTAGTAATAATACGCGACATAATTATTGTACTGCGGGTTTGATATATCTACATTAATTTAATTAATAAAAAAATCTTTAATGATATTCAAGCAAAGGAAGTTGGAGCAGTCATCTTAGTTGCTCTTGTATTTCAAAAATGGCGAATTTTATATCATCTATGAAGCTGTAAATTACTCTGTTGTTATGTTGTGTAATCCTACGAAACAGACTTAGTCCTGATGGTTCTCTTAGACGTTTTCTTAAAATATGTCGGCCTGGAACTATAATAATAAATTTCTTGGAAAACAACTCTATAAACAGGTTATGGCATAAATTTCAACAAATAAAATAGTGTTCGTATCGCAATCCAAAAAGGAGACAAAGTGGTCGCAATCAGATGTCACAATCATTTTTATACGACATCAAAAGTTGCAGCCAAGTATTCTTGAACCAATCACATGTTTTACAAAATCCTTGTTTATTTTTTGATATAAATAAATTCAATTTGGGAAAATAACTTGCATGATAAATTTATCATCTATATAAAAATAATAAATTTTCACGTTACCTTTTTACTACTACCAATTGGGAAGGTAATTATCCTGAATTTCTGTTGAAAAAAAAAGTATTTCAAATTTCTAGAACCTGTGACTACAATACTTAACTAATACTTATTGAGCCCAGAACGGTCTAAATAACGCTGTGTTTATTATTATTATGTAAAAATAATTGATTAATAGTTCTCCTGATTTGTCAACTACCAATTATAGCCCTTATATAGACAAAATGGTGTGTGTAACTAACCAATCAATATTAATATTAACATATTAACATATAACGATTGTTTTGATTCAACGTTAACTACAACATACTACTTTAATATCAACGTATCGCAAAAAAGTAGTTAAACTTGTTTATGCAATTCCAAAAAAATCTAATTAAAAAAATGATGATAATATATGGGCATGCTGCAACAAAACCGGACAAAGTGAACATTGGTGTTACCAAGAATTTCAGGGATCAATAGTATTACTGGTGTAATGTGTCATGATATTTGTCCAGACAAAAATAGCTAATATGAAACTCATTTACATTAGGTCTACCATGGAACCCAAAAATTACAGCACCATTAGAAGCATTTTGAAAAAAGAACAAGGTGAAAAAATTGCTCCTTATATTTTCAAAATAAATAATACTCAGGCACTAGAAGCTTATCTAAGAAAAGAAAGGATTACCTATGAAATTTACCAAGAAGAAAGAAAAATAATGAATGTTAGCTTGCATTATTACCCAATAAAAAGCAAAAATCTTTAAAAGGAAAATAACTACCATTTTATTTGATAGTTAGAATGAATTTCAATTTATAGAGAGGAAAACAACCAAAAATTACTTTCTTATTTTCAATCAAGATCATCTCTTAGGTTCTTCAACTTCAGTTTGAGCAATTTGACCATTCTGTTGATCTTTCAATTCCCTGTTTTCTTCTTCTAGTTGTTTAATTTTTTCTTCTAAACCCTTTATCTTATCCAACAGTTCTTGCTTTTGTCTTTTACTTCACTCCTCAGATTTCTCTTGAAACTTGGTTACTTCTTCCATTTCAATTTCAAGTGCTTCCTCAATAACAGTAACTCTTCTCATAAAGAGTTTATTTGCCATTCATAAAAAGCAGTCTGACTTATTTCTTCATCAGGTAAGAGGGGAAGTTCCTTTTCTTCCATATCTTTGTATTTGACACAAAAACAAATATATTTACCATTAAGTACATCAAGGTAATGTCTAGTTTGTAATCTACCACACCTATTACACTTTAACAATTCATCCTTTTCAAATTTTTCCTTACAATTTTCACAAACTACATCATCTGTAACATATTTGCCATTCGTTTTAATATGAACCAGTATTTGATTAACAGACTTATTATCCTCTCCATAAAGATTAGACTTGTTCTTTCTAAATCTAAAAGCATGTAAGTTAGTTCTCTCATTAATTATCTGTTTACCTCTATTCTATATAGTTCAAATTGCATTATTGATATATAATAACTTTTTTTTTATAAACACAGACATGTTAAAATCACACAAATCAGGATCTATTTATACAGCATATACACATGCAAAAAAATAATTGCCTGAAATATGGACAAACCAACAAATACTTTTATTTATAATTATTTTGCACAAGAATATAATAAACTCCATATTAAGCATTTATTTATACATAAAAATCTGTAATCCAGTGGTCCATTTTGAATAAAAGAAAAATCTCAAAACCTATTGGAAAAGCCAAGATGCAATTAATCTCTTTCTGCTTTTGGAGTAAAATATAAAATTGGATCTTCATTCCAATAACTTGAAAGAAGGGAATTGATACAAGCTTCAATGCATCCTGGATAACTGATGGGAGTGGATTGCTTCCACTTTCTTCTATACACTTTGTTTGGAAACTGATGTGTTGCAATTGGGTGACTTTTATGATTTCTACAAAATTTGTGATGCTTTTCTTGTGGTGATCTTTATGCGTGGGGCCAGTGTTCTCACCAATACCAATCTCATGGCCATTTTCCTATAGATTTGTTATATACAATCAGTTGACATCATCATGTGTTCATCAAATGTCAAGCAAAACAATTTACCCATAAAATAAAATCACAGGCTTTTCCAGTTCATTCCAAAGATGATCAAGAAGTCTTTTCATCTCTATCTGCATCTGAATGACTTTCTCCACTACAAAGCAAAAAAAAACATTGATTACTTTAATAGTATAGACTTAATAGGGAGAACAGAATAAACAAAGAAATAGATTCTTACTATATAAATTTTATGCCGGGAGTTTTCAAAAAAGGACCAATAAGATGCATATCAACAGTTCTTTCTATATGAGTCTCACCATTGTATATATGTACCCATTCACCACTATAATGATAGTGTTCATGAGTATGCATGCAATAAAAAAGAATGTCAACAGGTGTAATCAATACTATGATTAAAAAACTTACAAAGCATCCAGACTCTCACCAATATACTGTATATCTTGATCATATATGTTCACCTTGTTGAGACTTTTATCATCAATTTGAAGCAGGGCTGGCAAATTGACTGGTCCATTGAGAGCTGATGGACTTTGGACTGGTCCATTGCCATTAATAAATTACTAAAATGTTACAATGGATCACCAATGGACCACCAATGGACCATACATTTGCCAACCCTGATTTGAAGTTACCATTTTTATCTTTCCTTCATTATATCTTTGGTTTTTTTTCACTGTTATAGATTTTGTACTAATGGTTCCTTCGTTAACTCCAACAGACCCAACTACAGTACTGTCCATAATCGTTGGTTGATGGAAATAAACTGATGGTCCACTGACTGAATTACACATCTTGCATTCTTTCTTCCATTTTCATGCTATTCTATGATCAGGACGTTCACTCTAAACCAAAAAAAAAAAAAAAAATTAGTAATATTTTCAATTGATACTTTCACACGTCACCTGGATTAATAATATGAATTTGTCATAAAGAATTACTTCTCAGTCTTATTTTATCCCGTCCGGTTGGCCTCGAAGGATTAAACACCAGATGAACTCGAAGTTACCTGGTACCCCGGAGGGGCCAGTGCTGGTTCCTCGAAGGCATTAACACCAGATGAACTCGAAGTTACCTGGTGCTCCAACACACTGGCTTTGTGGCTCAACTCAAAATCTTGAATGATAAGAATTCTCGAAGAACCTTACCACGCCACTTGTGTTTCCAACAAAGAAAGGCTCATACTTATCTCCCTATAATTATTCAGCAGTAATTGTGCTTTGTCACGTTTCTTCTTGCTTTCTCCTATGTTAGCGATAGTCTCAAGTGATGTAATATAAGATTCTATTTTGCGGTAATACGACTCCAGGCCACATTTTTCCAGAAATCGGTAATATTCCATTTCGACGATGACCTTTTGAAATATTCGTGTGTATCTGTTTTTAGGCATAAGTGAAAAGTCAGAAATTTATGATTATGCATAAAAAAATCGTAAAGTTCATCCGTAATACTACTACTTTAGTTTTATGAGAGTTCCATTTGAAAAATTAATTGTTTTCGCATACATGTATTATGACACGAGTTTATTAATCGAATTAGGGTATCAACAGGGGATTTACTAAATGAAGGAAATAATCGACTGTGTTTGTAAGATTGTTATACAACATATATACAAAATTTATATATATCACACAAAATTTTTATGCAAAACAATAGAATAAATGTCAAAAACATGAATTTGTATATAGTAGTGAATGGGTTCTTTATTTTTCGTATGTTAAATTTGTGACAAAGTCGTCGTTTTGAATAATAATAAATTTACTATGAAATTAGCCCCTATACTTTTATAAAAAATTCACCTGGTTGATAAAAGAACCGCGAATTAATGATATATACATACAATAATGATATTAAACCCTAAAATTCTTGGTAATACAAATGTTCACTTTTGTCTGGTATGCTCCATATAGATTTAATTGAAAACTTCGGCTGATATACAAAATTAGGAAGGGCCAATTCTTTGATTACTCTATTTAGAAAGAATTTCAATCCCTCAAATAGAAATCTTCCGATAATGAATAATAGAAATGAGTGATCGATTATAGTAGAGACAAGTTGGAAGATTTTTGCCTATAACTCTTTTCTATTCTACTCTCGTGAATGTGAATTTTTTAAAGCTTTCATGACAGATAATAAAATATACAGCCTCAAAATAAACCAAAGATTTATCGCGCGCATTAGGGAAATAACGTAATAGCTTATGGGAATTCAAAAGGCTGCGTATGAGATACGTTTTTTTTTAAAGGTAAAAAAGATTAAATTAAATAATCATTCTTGGACCAGAAAGAAACACAAGGAAACAAAAGTAAATTATATAATATTATTGTATTTTCAATATTTGGATAAGCGGATGGAGCAACTAAAACTACCTAAAAAAGAAAGACGTGCATAAATCTTACGATTAGAATTTCATTATTGACCTTTTTATGTTGACAAGCTTGTCGCCACAATACAACAATTTTTCATAACATTCAAAAGTTTCGATATAAATTTAAAAAACATGAATAATTATTTTATAGAAGCGAACCATGCTTTCTCCATTTAGACGTATTCCATCCATGTAGAATGCATTTGACTTTGACTTTGGAAACATACACACCCAAAATTACACTAAATTCAAAACGAAAAAGTATTTGTCTAATCTATTATTAAGCATCTAAGCCACAATTTTTAAAAACTCCCTCTTCGTTGAAGATGTTCCCTTGCAGAAGTTCTGTACGGATAACCATTATTCTTTTCGTTCATCACCAACAAAAGAAAAAAAATATTAATTATACTAAAAACAAACTAAAAAACCAAATTTAAATTTTATACTTACTCTTTTTGATTCATAATCGGCAATTTTATTTAACGGAATCAAAATCAATAAAAACAAAAGACTTAAACCAACCAAAACATAAAGTAAATTAATCTTTTTTTTTCCCAAAACAAAAATTTATTAGTAAAAAAATTTTTTTTTTTTAAACAGCAAACATAGAAATAGAAAAATAGGAAAATAGGAGGAAACCTTGTTTGTAGTAGAAGGTATATCGTTAAATCCTTCGTATAATTTAGTCATTAAATTATAATGACTTGCCAAATATCCGATTCCAAAAGAGGATAATGTACCCAAGAGATAGGCGTACATATGTATTTTGATTATTTTTCTTTTGGAATGCAAAAAAAAATATTTTTTAAAAATAAATATTTGAGTTAAATTTATAATGTAAATAATAGATTAGTATCACACAATGAACTTTATTCGTTCTCATTCTTTAAAAAAATTTTATTTTTAAAATATTATTAATTTTTATATATGTTTATGATACAATATATGGGAATATTATGATATATTATGGATATTATGATATTATAAATTTTTATATACAAAAAAATAACAAAAAAAAAATTTTTATAAAAAAAAAGTGTAACTCAATAAAAAAAATCATTCTTCGGAAATTTCATAAGCAATTATTTCTTCGAATTGTTCAATTAATCTTGGATAAGGATTTAATATATTATAAATTGACTCTTCCCATTCAATGTCTGTCATTTCATTCCTTGATTTTAACAAAATATTTTTAAACTCTTCGTAAGGAGTTTTTTCCTCCTGTTCATCATTATTACTATTATTGGTAGATTCTTTGTCCAATGTTTGTTTTAAATTTACGAAAAATTGTGGATAAGAAGATTCAAAATTTTCTAAAATTTTTGGGAAATCACGAATTAATGTCACGTCAATAAAATTATTATTCTGATAATAATAATTATCTTTATAAAATTGATCAAGATAAGCGTTGTCGTGATATATGTTGTCATCATTTACTAATGTATCATTAATTACATCATCGTCGTCATCGTCATCATCGTCATAATATCCAACAATTTCCTTAAACTTAACCAAAAATAGAGGATTTTCCTTCAAATGACTCTCGATACATTTCATCCATTTTTTATCGGAAATTTCTTCGCGCTTGGAATACAAAAGACTTAAAAACTCTTGCCAAGTATTACAAGTAGCACCGTTATTATCAGAAATAAATTGTTTGACCCCATCAAAGTAATCTTTATTAATAATAAATAACTCCTTCATTTCCGTGTCACGATCCAATAATGACACACGTATTTCATCGGAATTGTTTAGTAACTTTGCCGATATATCAATAGAATTAAAATTTTCTGCTAAAGCATCATAGTCATCAGAGTTATTATCACCACCATCTTCAATGCTCATCTCGTCATCGTCATCGTATTCAATAAAAGATTGGTTATTATGAAAATCCTTATTATCTTCTGGAATATTAAAAGAAACCGACCGTTTTTCAAATAATGTATAATCAGGTGGTGTAAGTGGTAATGAGTTATTGTTACTAATATTGATGCCGTCGACAGTATTCGAGTTTTTGATAAGAATACTTCTAATGATTGGTTCTGATGGTGGAGTCAAAATAGGAGACGACGTCGATGATGACGACGATAACGATGTCAATGATGATGAACCCAAAGTATCAACAGAGTTGTTGGCATTAGCTTTTGAAAAAGGAATAGCGCGAAAGTTTGACATTTTTAAAAGAATTTTTTGTTTGTTTTTTTTTTTTAAAATAGGAACAAGACAGAAAAAAAGAATTTTTTATTAAAAGGGAATATGATAGATAAATTGAAGGACAAAATATCGTGTATATATATTTTTAGTTTTTTTTTTTATGTATTATATATTAATATTGTAACTATGCAATTTTACATCACATCTATTTTCTTTTGAAAGAAACTATGTGTACCACTTATTGTTATTTAACTTTGTAGAACAGTTCCATCATCATCATAAAAGCGCCCAGAAATTTTTAATTAATTTTATTCATCGAAACTAAGATAATACACACGCACACCTTTTGGTAAATTATGACATGATAGAACATTTAGACTAAACCAAACCAATTAGTCAATTATTTCATGGGGCGTAATTTTAATTAAACTAACTTTGTTCATTCATATTGTTTATAAATTAAGTTTTTTTGTTTTCTTTTTTATTTATCAAATTTTTATCATTTTTTTTTTTCGGAAAATTCAAATTAATTTACTCCACACTTTTGAAAAATTTGTAATTAAAAAGCTCATCCAAAAATTAGAAGCTATGAAACTTATTCTACAATCTCGTGCTTATCTTGATCAAATCACTCAATCAATCTCAATCAATTAATAAGTTGTACACAAAGCATTCTCTTGCAGAAACACATTCACAAATAAGGAAATCGGGATTTATTTTGTGAATATCAAAAACCATCACATGGTTATTAATTGTATATAATAAAAATAAATAAATAATCCTGAATAGGTTAAAATTTTTTTTTTATTGATTATGATAGATAAATGAGACAAGTGTACATATTTTTCCGCAGCATATTATTGGTGATTAAATTGGCGATCACGGAAGCATCGTGATAGAAATAGAAATAGTAATAGAGAGAAATAAGAAATATAAAAATGGTGGTGATGGGGATGGCAATACCCAAATTTTTTTTGTTCTTTGTTTCCAGAGAATTCAAAATGACTTTTCCTTGATTTTTTTTTGTTATCAACAGGAAATGGTCATTGCAAACCCTTTTGAAGAAACAAAACTAATAGAAGATCCGTTATAATGAAAATCTTTTTTTGTAGAAATTCTGCAACTGGATGTTATTACACTATACTTTTTTTGGTAATTAAAATGCCCAATTGCTAATATGGTTTTATGCACATGGTTATCATCATCATTATTGACAAAGTGAACATAGCGAGCGCCATTGGTGGTGGTATAATAATGAACCTCCCATATTAATATTCTTTATCCCATCTTATTTATGAATATAGTAAAAAAGTGCTGATTATTAAACAAATGGTAAAAGAGAAGTTGGACATCTTCTTACAAACATTATTGTATGATCATAAGAACAAAATCCATTAGCAGAAGCACAATAGACAATAATAGAACAATTAGAACAATTAGAGTTCATGATAAGGATTATTTACTTGAATTTTGAGAAAATGCAAACCTAAAAATAACCAATAAATAACCAATAAATTGAAAGACAATAAATAACTTTATTGAAGAAGGGCTTTCATTACACTATTATTTGATCATTGTCACAATGTAAAGGTTCCTGGTTAAAAGTTTTAGTGTTCAGATTACACAACGTCTCGATTTAGTATTATAATTAATGGGCTTTAACGGATTTCCCGGATATTTCTTACTAATATGGCGCGGGAAGTCTATAGCCACCATTTTTACACATGAATTTTTGTTTCCGTGTGACCATTTTAAAAAAAACTGTCAGATATATATCTTTTCAAAAATATTTGATTGTTTGAGCTTTATTGATTGTAAATATGTTTTAAAATTCAGTCAAGATTGTGTAACCCATTATACAAATAACGCGTCAAGAAATTGCCTTTTTTTAAATAATTAAATATTACATTGCATTCATTACATTTTTTAAAAAAAAAAGAAATTGTTCAACTTTGACTAGCTAGACTTGAAAAGAATTAATCTGGTCTATTCAATAGCTATCTATTAATAAAAGTATTTTCTCAAATAGAAGGTCCTTGATTTTTGTGCCAAAAATCGAAGATGATAAAATTGCTCAGATAGTGACTCTGGTGATGATGATTTGGAGCAATGAAACTTTAGATGATGCCATCAGAGACTTGGATACTCCAATTTTTAATCGTCCATTGATATAGTTCAAAAGAATTTATTTTAAATATGGCATAATTCTAGATTCTTCTCATGGAAAACATCCAAAATAAAATCGTTTCTTTGGCATGAGGATGTAAAAAAATTTCATTATCATCAAAAAAGCTAGGTGTACCATCGCCCTGACTCCAAATAATATTTTTCCAACAATATTCACGTTGCCTGTATTTAATTTAAAAAATCAACAAAATAATGAAACTCACAAAGTATGAATTATTTAATGCAGTTCTTCTTCTCACGCCAGTCTCTTATTACCGCTTAAACCTTTTCTTCTTCTTCATTGGTTGTAGGAATTGGAGTCTATCATAATTTCAAAAAAAAAAAAAGATGGCCGGTCACCCATAAAAATTTTTGTGCATAAATTTTAAAGAAAAAGGAATTTAAAATAATAATAAGCGAATTTATCTTAATTGGAATTAACAAGTAAAAAAGATGAAAATAAGAAAACTGAGTAGCATGTCAATATTAATATGTAGGGTTAGTTGTGTTAACTTGATATTTTTTTCGATTTTTGTCTTTGAAGTTGATTGTAATACACAAAAATAAAAACGCGCGTTTTAATGTATGAGTTTGAACACACAACCTGGTCGATATTGGTAGAACGACTTTTACATAATATATAGGTACAAGTTTCGAAAAGTGATAAAAAAAAAAATCCTTTTATCACTAAAATAATGCAATTTTTATGTTTCATTATTAATTAATATAATAATAATAAAAAGTTAAAATCAAATTAAAACGGAATGTGAGAATAAGATTTTATAGTTTTGGAATATTAACTAATAAACTCGCAAATAAAAATGTACATTTTTTTTTCTTACAAAACATACTAATACTAATATATAGGAAAATACATTATTAGTATTGGATAATCTGCATTTTATTATTATAAAATTTTGTTTTGACGCGCCCAATTGCAAGCATAAGTAAAAATAAATGTAAATAAATATTTATAGTTTACATAAACAATAACGATTAAAATAATTAAATAATATGAGCAAGCAACAAATTGTTAAAAAAGAAGAGAAATGTAAAGAAATGTTTAATATTGTTATGAAAATGCATCAACGAATTGTGATTTAAAATCAATATTAAACAACTACATATTAGCTATAAATAAGTTTTGCAATAGAATTCAGGCTTTCTTTTGAATCTCCAAGATCACTCAATTCGATCAAGTCTTGGTGAGATACAAAAATATATGGTAATAGGTAAAGAGCTATTGCGTTTTGAATTTAAATACTACTCTGACCATTTAAGGGATAATATATATTAATATTATTAATACTATCATTATTAAATAGAAAGTAATGAATGGTAATTATAATATATAATATTATAATTGGGATGTCCTCCAACAATATGGGATTTGAGGCCCCTGGCCAAAATTGAGTTTTTTGCGTAATGTATATCTATATCGTAAGGATCATAGCTGGTGAAAATTTTAAACCATGTTAGTACAATAATGAGATATATGGCTTGATATATTTACTTTACATATAACCAATTTTGATTTGATGATTACACAAAACAATTTAATAGTCTCAAGTAATTATTAATGCAAGTAATGAATGAATCATACCATGCTATCATATATAAAATTTACTAATAAACAAAATAGAGAAAATCTTTCCATGATTTTATTAGTAAAAAAAATATTTATCCCATAAACCGTATTCACATGCCAAAAGTCTTATTTATTAATAATATCATAAGTCACAAATTTGTGACTTTTACGGTTTAAGAGATAAGGATTTAAAATCGTGCGATTTTTATTATTAAAAATTTTTTCCTTTTAAAGAAACTGTTATTAAAAAATAATCGTAAGATTTTTGATAACATTGAAAAAATCCGCATATAACAAGTAATTTGTTATAATGATGTGGGGCATCTTGCAACAAAACCAGACAAAGTGAACATTGGTATTAGTATTAAACTATTAAACCACAGAAAAAATTCAGGGATCAACTAACATTCTAAATACTTTATTACTGTTATGGAAATTTATTATGAAAATTAAAAATGAATGAAATAGTTATAATTTTAAAATAGTATTAGAATTCTTTTTATCGATTCTAGTAATAGGTTGATATAAATAGTAAGTAATTATTATAAAGTTGTTTTCTTTGTCTTGGGTTTTGCCTTTTGTTGTCTCACCAAGTCAACTAATCTTGATTTTGTTGAGTCTGTTTTAAGTTGATTACTTTTTCTTGTCTTTGGTTTTCTTGTTGGATATCTACTTGTTGGAGTAATTGAATCAATTAATCTTGATTTTTTTGGCTCTATGTTAACTTTCCGAGACTGCTTATTTTTCTTAAGAAGTTCCACATTATTGACAAGCACACCTTGCATATTCAAACACTAACAAATATAATAAAATAGCCGTAACACACACAATAATTGTAATAATATTTCTTTAGAATAAATAAAAGAAATAAAAGACTAATAATTTGTTTAAAATCTTGTCCATTTCTTTGTAATAAATATAAATACCAAAAGAAAATTGCTTGTTTTTAATCAAGGTAAGTGATATTAGTTTTACTCGCGTAATTTGGATCATTAAAACATTTAAAAATAGAATTTTTTGAAAACAACTAGATAGATGAGTTGAGGGATGGTAGTAGAAGTCAATAACAAGATAGCAATATATCTCCCTCCACCTACTCTACATACACTATTTGTTCTATATACCTATTCTTCGTGAAAGTTATATCAAATTTTCTTTTACTTTAAACAAAAATGTGGGAGCTTCCTGTAATTTTACTATAATTAATACGTTATTTTGTATTTATTTATAAATAAGGAACATGAGAAGATATACAGTTCATTGTAAAGTGTGTTCATTAAGATGTTCGTTATAGAGAGAGAAATTAATTAAAAGGGAAGTTCATTATAGAGATTTTACTTAGTGTTTGTTATAGAGAGAGTGAAGTGTAGCTTTATTTTTTTTTTTGTTTGCTAAAGGATGTCATAGAAGAAAAGGATAATGTTATATTAAATATTTAATATTAATTATCGGTCATTCTTTTACAAATGAAATAAAAATAATCTTTTCTATGTATATAATAATGATGTTATCATGCATGACTACACTAATATTTTTAATGATTTCGCAGTCAAAAAATTATCTACTGTATCATAGTAAATTTCATGTTACCTACACTCTACCCTTAACTTGTAGCTTGATTATTTATGGCCTCAAAGGTTGTTGAAGCTAAATCAAAAGGATGTAATTATAGAATATAATTTTATTTTAATGTGTGACATAAGAAAATGATCATCACTGTATCCTTTCAGTTGTTATGAAAAATCACATGATTACACTCTACCCTTAAGTAGCAAAGGAAAAGATGCCATAGAAGTAAAAGGACAAGTGTTTTAAGGATGGTGGTGGTGGTTATCGCCACTTGTTGTCACTCTAGTTTATATATAAAGGTTGGTGGTTATTGCAATCGTTGCCACTAGTCATCACTCTAGTTAATTATAAACTTTTTTTTTATTAGTGAAAATAAAGAAAATGAGAAGGTATTTATTTCAATAAAATATTATTTTAGTATTCAATATTGTAAACACTAATTCAACATAAAATAATTTTTATATATAATTATTCTCTGCACAAATAATCATACTTTTTAGAGTTGGAAAAAGAAGGCAGAGGAATTGGAGTTGGAGGTGGAATGATTGAAAAGAAGATTAAAAAATATTGAAGGCAAAGATCTCAAATGTAAATGTTGGGTTATACATTGAAGGCTGATAAATATTCTAGTTATTATAAAAATGTCAATCATTCACTGATTCATAGGTAAACCACCAATATACAAAAAATTATTTTCCATTCATTACATTTTGTTTATTTATTAGTTTGATAAATTATTTTTGATTGTTTATTTGTTTATTTGAATAAGCATTTGATATACTATTTACAATTTTAACTGACTTATGCTCTTTATTTTTTCATCATTATACTCCAATATTTATGTTTTATTAAAAGAAGGTAAGAATTGTTGTGGATATTATACAAATAATAATAATGTAAATGTCATTATTCATTATTCATTATTGTTTTTTTTATTATAGTTGTATCTGATCAAAAGAAGTGCAAATATGAAGGTAAATTTTATTTAACATGGATTACAAGAAATCCTCTTTATACTCTTATTCATTTTTTCACCATTCATAAAACTCATTATTAGAAGAATCAGAAGATATTAATCTGGCTGGCCATCTTAAAATGCTTAAAACTAGGGCTTCAAATTATTGTAATACAGTTGATCTTTAATTCGAATTAATTATTTGAATAAAAATTTATTGAATTAAAAAAATTTATTTGAATTAAAAAAATTTATTTGAATTAAAAAATTTATTTGAATTAAAAAAATTTATTTGAATTAAAAAATTTATTTGAATTAAAAAAATTTATTTGAATTAAAAAATTTATTTGAATTAAAAGGTTTATTTGAATTAAAAATTTAATTCACAATCAATCAGGAATTCCTTTATATTATCTTCAATTCCTTTCATTGTTCTATAAAATACATAGCCATCCAATATCTTTACATAGATTTGAATACCACAAAAACTGATTTATAGGAATCTAAAGGAGTTCATTAAAAAATTAGTAAATTCATTTTCTTATTGTTTGTATGATGTGTGTATACACACACACACACACACACACACACACTACCCAGGCAAAAGTTTGTGAACAATGTTTTTTGTTAATTATGCAAAATGCTACATATTAACAACACATAAAATTTTAACATTATACAGCCTAGGTTCTTGTTCATTTTCATATGAAATTTGATGTATTTTGTATTTCTAGTACTTTATTAATTAAAAAAAAAATGAAAGTTGATTAAATTTTAAAATGTTTACAGTATTTTTGTGTTTTCTCAAAAATTCTCATAATAAAAATATTTAAAATTATATCATATAAAAGCTATAATTTTGGTGAATAAATTATATGATTCTAAATACTTTAATGCATCTAGATTTTATTTCTTTGTTATTTTTTTTCTAAATCATGATTTGCAAAAAAATTCAATTTTAACTTTTTGATGATCTTTCAAAAAAAAGTATTTCGTTTTTTTTAATTAATAAAGTACTAGAAATACAAAATACATCAAATTTTATACAAAAACGAACAAGAACATAGGCCATATAATGTTAAAATTTTATGTGTTGTTATTATGTAGCATTTTGCGTAATTAACAAAAAACATCATTCACAAACTTTTGTCTGGGTAGTGTGTATATATATATATATTTTTGAACTTATCAATTACAAATGCCTGATTAATAATTGATTCTGCATTTTGATTTACATTAATATTAGCACGTAACCTGCTGTGAAAATTTTCAACATAATATTCATTGAAATTAACAAGATGATTCTCCAATACATTTGCAAAAGGATTTGATTTTCTTCCCAGTATATGTAATCTGAAATAAATTCCAGTATAATATTATTATAATTTTTTCTTTTCCATCTAAGAGCAAAGTCCAGATTCTAAATAATGACAATTAAATTATTTTGTATTTTCCGTATAATAAAGATTGTGTAGTTCGTGTAACGTGATAATTTCGAATGTCGATCAAAAACAAAATTCCACTATGCTGAATGCGAATGCATGCAGACACAATATTTCATGAATTATATAATTGTTTTAAATGCATCTTTATCTGTTGTGGAAATAAAAGTAGTAACAGAACAAATTAGTTAAAGCTGAAACAATATACAAATAAATAAGTCAAATGAAATGGACAAAAAATTTTTTTTTTACACAATTTGTTCATTACCTTTTCCTTCAAATTCTGCAAGTTTATTTATTAAATTTATGACCAGCTCCTCCAAATCATCTACCTTCTTTTCCAACCTCTTCTCTTTTTCCTCCAGTTTCTTCAGCTGATTCTCCTCACTTTGACTAAGTTCATTTCTTCTTTCCTTTCCCTTCAACTCCTTCAACCACATTCCGTCCTCCCCTTCCTCCCACTTCTTCAACTCCTCCACTGCCTTTCCATGCTCCTTCTCTGCCATTTTTGATTTCTCTAATTTCTTCAATCATTGCCATTTTCTTGAGATTAAAAAAAAAGATTTGAAAATTAATTTTTAAAAAAATTTTTTTTTTATATTGATTAAGATCATGATTTCAACCAATGATAAATTAAGGGTAATATTATATACAGAAAGGTTCTTTTATGAAATATACAGAACCTATGTGACAAATAAGGATTAATTCTTAGAGTTGGTAAACACTGTAATTCCTGCCACCCCCAGCCCACAAATTTAATCATCACGTCTGTGATAAATGTCACATTGGTTTTACAAAAATTTTGAGCTACAATTTAGTTTCCTTTTTTATAGAATGAATTGCTATTTTTGGTAGGGTTCTGTATATTTTCCATAAATTAATGGGCAATTAAAAAAATTTTTTTTTACGGACAAATGAATTAAGCAACAAAAAAAATAATATAAGTTAAATAATTGTCAGAGTGCTTGCATGGGAGGAGAATACTCATACCCAAAGCCATTTATAAGTATTACCTATTCTTTGGGAGCTCTGAGAAAATTCAACTTTTGTGATTACTACCACTATTATTATCAATAATAATATTATTACTAATATTTATATATTCTTCATTTTCATTATCTTCTTTGACTTCATTCTCCATCTCTTTCTTCTTTTCCTTTTCAACCCATTGCTGAATTGCTTCTAGTGTTTTTCTTCTAGGATTTGTTTTTCATTGGCAGAAGTTTTTTATTGTAGAAGCAGCAATTCCCTTTCCCTCTTCAAGTAATTGACGAATTTCAGTGGCCATGAAAAATCGGGATTCAACCCAGTCTTTTCATCAAATAATTGTTTGAAATCCTTTCATAGGTTTTCGATTTCATGTGAATATTTTTTATTACCAGTAAGTTGGTTTATTTCATTTTTAAAATGGCCTTTTCTTGGTTCCATTTTATCAATTATTTGATCAATTTTTTGATTATAATAGAGAACTGATTTTATAAATTTTATAGTGAAATAAGAAACCAAGAAAGAGTCCAATTAACAGCCCGCAAAAAAATTCAATATTGAATGTATGCATTTTTTTAAATATTATTACGGATGAAAATATTATGTAAATATTTATTGATTATTTGATTGTTTTTAAACCAAAAAAAAAAAAATTGTGTTTAATGATGATTGTTAGGAGTTGTTATTTGAATTTTTTTTACCCGAAAATAAATGTGGATAATTTATTACAATTATTGAATGATTTTTAATGATCTAGTAATTTAAATTACAAAAGCTAAAATTGAATTAAGTTCGAAAATTATCTTTATTTCATTTTAATTTATATCTTTAAATATTAATTTACAATTGTTAGGAATGTATAATAAATAAAAGAAAAAAAAATGAATCTTAATATCTATATTGTGGGTAAGCTTATAGACTTCCCGGAAAGTACAATCTAAATTAAAAGATAACTTCTTAAATAAAATAAATAAATGCGAATTCCTTGAATAATATTATCCACGTTCACTAGTGTAACAAAAATGATTTCTCCACATAACGAATATGGTAATAGAATTTGGGGGTCTGTCAAATTATTTTCCTTCTAAGGGTTCTGCTTTTTATTAGGTAATAATACATCATCATGATGCTTTCTTTTTCCAACATTTATTATTTTTCTTTTTTCTTGATAAATTTCATAGGTAATCTTTTCTTTTCTTAGATAAGCTTCCAGTGTTTGAGTATCATTTATTTTGAAAATATAAGGAGCAATTACTTCTAATGGCGCTGTAATTTTTTGGTTCCATAGTAGACCTAATGTAAATTAGCTTCATATTAACTATTTTTGTCTAGACAAACACACAATTGTGATGTTAAACAAGCACTGTTGGTCCCTGAAATTTTTAGTAATACCAATGTTCACTTTGTCTGGTTTTGTTGCAGCATGCCCCATTTGTCTTTCTTCTTTTCTTTCCTTAGATAACTGAGTATCATTTATTTTAAAAATATAAGGAGCAATTTTTTCACCTTGTTCCTTTTTTAAAATACTTCTAATGGTGCTATAATTTTTGGGTTCCATAGTAGATCTGATGTAAATTAGTTTCATATTAACTATTTTTGTCTAGACAAATGTCATGATCACATTACACCAATAATACAATTGTGATGTTAAACAAGGATTATTGATCCCTGAAATTCTTGGTAATAACAATGCAATGTTCACTTTGCCTGGTTTTGTTGCAGCATGCCCCATATAATAAATAGTTTTAGCATTATAATCAAATAGTTTGGATCTCTGAAGGTTTATTAACAATCTAAAATTTAATAATAGACTATAAACCAATGCATTTCCAAGTGTATGTCTTTAGAACCTAAAAATCAATCTTATGTTTTAAACACTGTTGCAATAAATGCTATCTCTTTTTATTGATAATGATGTCTTGTGACAATACGACGTTACACGGAATTATAATAAAACAAAAGATGATCTACATGTAAAATATATATTTCCCATTTTATTAATAATCACCACCATACCTTAAATTTTTTTTAGGAAAAAAAAAGTTGGTCAAAATAAAATAATACTTTTTTATTTTCCATATAAAACATATATACTTGTCATTTAAGCAACCATCAAGTTATTTTCGATCAATCATATTTATCTCTATATATCGAAAGAAACCAAAACTTTAAAAATGTCCGACATGGATGATTTGCTAGACTTTGAAGATGGTGGAATCGACTTCCCAACTAATGAGAATTATGATTTAACAACAGCTTCAACAACAATAGGTAATATAATAGATGACAAAATGTTTGATTTAGAGGGTGATATAAATCTCGAGTTAGAAGTGCAACAACAACAACAACAACAGCAAGATGGTGTTAAAAATGTTGAAGTTATAGGTATTGATTCCGAATAATTTAATAATTTGGAAGGAATTAATGAATCGGACGATTCGACTTTCAACACTATTTATTATTAGTGGGGCTACTGCTAAAATTATTAACTATTATTCTAATACTATTATTACTATAATTTTCTTTCTCTTTCCCCCCTTGTATACATCTTTATTAGAAAAAATAACAAAAATAGAAGTTGCAACAGAAGAGAAAAGTGGTGATGATAATGAAACTTTAGTAAAGCAAGATACTTTTGATTTTGATAACTTGGAAGAATTCAATATAAACGATTCAGATTTTCTTAAAAGTTACAACAATATAAATAATGTTGGCGATAATGATGATGATAATAGTAATAAAAATAAAAATAATGCTGGTGAATATGATGATGAACTATGGAATAATGAATGGAATATTGACTCAAATGATTTACAGACTAAAGATATATCATCATCATCATTATTATCATTGTCGGAATTAAGCGAGCTTAAAAGCTTTGATAAGAATGTAAACGAACCAGAAAAAATTAGTGAATCTTTAGAAAATAATTCTTTGGAAAATAAAAACATTGATAATGATAATAACAATGATAATAGTGATAATATTGACGAATCATTACTAAAAAAAGATGATGGTGATATTAAATCATCAAAAAATTTAAAATCTTCTGAAAAAGAAGAAGGTGAAATTTTAAATTCAAATGATACCACCAATAGTAATAATAATAACAATAACACAAACAATGCTAACAAGCAATTGAAACAAAAACAAAAAGATTCATCTCAACAGCAACAAACGTCATCGCCTCAAAAACAAATCCCATCTCTACAAGCAGCACAACGTCATCACCAACAGCAACAACAACTTCATTTTCATCAAATGCAACAACAACAACAGCTTTTAATTTTACAGCAGCAACAATTATTGGCAAATCAAAATGCACAAAATTTTCGTGGTCGTAATTTAAGAAAAAATAATGATTGGCGTCAACCCAATCTTAATGCTGGAGCTTTTCTAAACGGTGTAATGTCTCCGTTTCGCCCCGGATTTGCTCCCGGTATCGATGGAATCCATGGGTAATTAATCGATTAATTAATATTTATTTATTTACAGCTCAATGCATTAATTGTGCTATGAATTGATTGATTATTGATTTATAATTTTATATTTTCAAGAATGCCAATGGGTCAAATTCCAATGGGAAATCATTCAATGATGCCACCGAATTTTCACAACATGGGTAATTTATATATATATAGATAAATATTATCAATTTATTTTTTTAATGGATATGACTATATTTATTCATCTATTTTTTGAATCAAAATAATCAACAATTCATTTATTTATTTTTTCTTTTCTCTTCTTTCTTTGCCCATCTGTTCAATATTAAAGGACAAATGATTGGACCAAATATTCATGTAAATCCGAATTTTGCAAGATTACGTCCCCATGTTCTCCCATTTGGAAATCCTTTAATGCAATATCCTGGTGGGCCACATATGAATATGTTACCGTATCAAGGTCAAATGGAAATACCACAATATCACCCTTCGATGAATCCAATGGCTGGTCGAGTTGGTGCTGGCGGTAACAATAACAACAATGGTGGTAATAACAACAATAATAATAATTTTTATATGAATAATTCTAAAAGTTTTAATTCAGTATATATTAACAATAATAATAATAATAATAATAATCCAAATTCTACAGCTAGAAGGCAGATGAATTCATCACCATCTGGTGCTAATCAACAACAAAGACATCCATCATCACAATCACAGACTTCGTCTTCATCCTCACCCTCAAAAAGAAAGTTTCCTGATAATGGATTTGAACAAAAAGAATCAGACAATAAACGATCATCCACTTCAAATAACAATTCTTTGTCTCCTAATCCTAATACCACTGCTACAAATGGAAAATCAACATTTCAAGAGACAAAATATAATAATAGTAATAATAATGGTGGCAGTGGTAGCGGTAATAATAATAATACATATAAAAAAGACGATAAGTCAATAAAATCAAATGATATGAAAAATACTTTACAATCAACATCATTATCGAGAAATAGTAGTAATAATAATAATAACAATAATAATAGACAGACATCGACATCTCAAAATAAACCTAAATCTATAAATAATACCACACTTACTGCATCATCGACATCCAATATTAATAATAGCAATAATACTAGGAATTTAGGTAGACCGATTACAAAAGTTGCACCACAATCTACTACACCATCATCAACTGGTGGCTCCAATTCTAATAAATTAATTATTTCAAATGTTGATGAAAATGTCACGAAACGGGAGCTTCAAGCTTTGGCTTCAAATGTTCCAGGAGGACCTTTGGTTAGTGATATAGTTTCTTTAACTAAAATTTAGTATTTGTAGTTGTAATAGTTAAAATTGTTAGTAACAAAAATTTATCTTTGTATGTAGTCTATTATAATAAATCGAGAATCAAGCTCTGCAGAAATTATTTTCAAAACTTTGGATGGAGCTAAATTGTTTAGGAGAAAATATAACAGGTATTGTTTACCACCCATATATATATGTATATTGAAAAATAATTATTCATTTATTGGGGATATGAATTTGATTAATTATTATACTATTTAAATTATATAGGAGCGTTCTTGGAAGTTCTAATATAATCATTAATTTTAGTTAATTTTAATAATAGATTTTTAGTTTATTATTTTGCTTTATTATTTGCAATATTAAAAATCTGTTTATTTCGTTTCTTTTAAAAAAGTTAGGTACAAAAAAACTTTTAATCTTATTTATATATTTTATTTAATTTTATAAATATAATTCCTCGTTATTACTTTACAATTACTCTTTCAATTCCTTCCTTCTTTTTTTTTTATTAAAAAAATTTTTAAAAAAATTTTAAAAACTTTTATTATTTTTAATAATTAAAAAAAATATTTTATCTTTAAAAATTGTCATAGGTTGTAATATTTATTTATTATAATTATTTTTGGTTTTATTTTTTTATTTTTTTTTTATTTTTCTTTGCTTTTTATTATTATTATTATTATTATTTTTGTTGTTACTATTATTGTTGTTATTATAGATTAAAAAAAACATTAAGATGAATTTCATTAGTATTAATATTTAATATATATATATATATATATATTTGTAGAGAATAGAATTGAAGAAAAGTTTATGAAAAAAGAAATTAATTATTTCCTAACCAAAAAAAAACTAACAGTATCAAACAATGTCATTGATTGATATATAATTTAAGAAGAAAATAATAAAATAATAAAAATGATAATTATAATGATGATAATATTTATAAGGAATGCATTTAATGCAAATTTTTTATTTCGATTGAAAAATTTTCCCGACAATATTATTATTATTAATCTTCCAAAATCAAAATATTTATTTGAGAGACAATAAATAACAGCATGCACACACATAATATATTCCAGTTATTGTACTAATAACGTATATCAATTGTTAAAAATTTCATTATAAATCTATTGTTATAATTACATAATTAATCAAAAATTAATAAATATCAATTTAAATTAAAACTTGTATATTTGTAATTAATTAAAATTCAAATTCGTCACGGAATTCATTAACATCAGCTCCAGAGAGTATTTTGTCTAGCAAATCTTTTCTTTCCTAAAAAAAAAATTTATTGAAAAAATTGTTATTCTTTTATTTTTCGTAAAAGAAAAAAAAAAAACTTTATATTCTTATTTAGCTTACCATTTTTTCAAAAGCTCTACTCAAGGTTAGTCTAAGCGATCTACTAGTATTTTTACTATCATCATCACCAATCTTATGCATACTCAAAGCACCAAGTAAGTGTTCAACTGCTTCACGATAACAATGAATATTTATACAACTGATTCCCAGATTATGTCTTGCCCTTACAAATGTAGGTCTTAAAGATAATGCTTTATGATATGCTTCAATTGCTTCTTCTGGTTTGTTATAATTTGCTAATGTTGCACCTAATTTATTCCATAAAAGATAATCCTAATTATATGTGCGCGAAATAGATATTTGTGTGAATGCATATTTTTATAAATAAATATAAACCATAAAAAAAAAAAAGGATTATTATTTACATCTTTACGAACTTCCAATGCAGTATTAAAGCAATCAGCAGCTTTTTCGTATTCATCATTAGCATAAAATAACACGCCCAAGCCTACTTGTACATCAGGATCAATGTTTTCACCTTCTGGTGCATTCCTTGCAGCTCTCAAAAACAATTCTTTAACACGAGACAAAAGAACTTGTGAATTATGCATTGTTGCTGAAGATAATACAATCTCGGGATATTTCACGGTTATCCATCGCTCCAGTGTAAAATATGACTGAGCTGTGAATCCTTCGTTTGTGTAACTAATTGCCAAATTCTATTGTATTTTAATTTATTTTTATTTCGTTATAAAACGAGAAAACAATAATATTAAAAATTAGGTTTTCCTTAATTCTTCATAAATTCAAAATCCAAAATTCAAAAACTCAAAAATAGATTACCATTAATGCAGTCAAATTATTTCCATCAATTTCAATAGCTCTTTGCAAAGCTCTTATAGCTGCTTCATCCTTCTCATTTTGAGCTTGTGCACTACCTAACCGCTCCCAAGCTTCAGAGTTATTAGTATCTTTCTTTACCGCAGCTTCAAAAGCCAATGCAGCTTCTGACAACGAACCACCTTGATTTATTATTTTCATTCCTTCTTCAAAAGGATTTAAATGTTCGAGAAAAGGATTGTTTGATTCAAATATGTACTCTCCAAAATCATGTTCTGAATTCATATTTTCAAAATTAAGGAATTTGTCATCCCATGCTGAATAATCAATCAGATCATCATTTAAATATTTATTTGCACTATTCTTCCAAATATTTTCAAATTCGTTAAACAATTTCTTATCATGTTCTAAAACATCAATATCATCCGCACCACTACTATATTGTTTATTGGCTTCTGAATCACGCTGAGCAGCAGCAAATTGTTCCTCCCAGCTCGTTGGATCGATTTTTTCTTTTTTCTTTAATGCAAACTCACTTGCCCAATCAAAATTTTTCTGAAATACTTCTTCATATTCTGGTGGAATTTCTGTGATTTGATTTTTCATGTTTGATTGAAATTCTCCCATAAATTCGGTGTTCCAGTTTGCTATTTAAATAAAAATAAATGTATATTAGGATACTATCTATTTAAATTAAAAATATTTTCTAATTAATATATATGTGTGTGTATGTATCTTTTTACCTCTCTTGAAAGCCGCTTCCATCATTTCATCCTTTATTTCTGGCCCATATTGCATAAAATGTGGAGAATCTTTTATATTTTCAAATTCTGTTGCCCATTCTTTAAATGTAATTTTTTTGTGAAAAGAAGAATTAATAAGCATAAATATATAATATAAAAATAGATTTAAAAGCAGTTGTAATTATTACCTTTTGCTCTGTGATTTGAAAAATTAGTCACATTTGGTAAAATGGAGTTGGGCTCAAAGAATTCTTCAATATACTATTACAATTAAAAATTTGATGTAAATATAAGAATAATAATAATTGAAAAGTGTATATTTGAGAAAATTGTTACTTGTTTTTCTTGTATGTCAACTTCTGGTCCAGCTGTACGAAACTACATAATGAAAATTCATAATGTTAGAAACTATAAATATGGCGCGCCAAAAAAAAAACTTATTGAACAATAATTAATATCACATACTGTACTTGGGCCCGCTTTATCGTTTACTGGAATGAAAACTTCCTATTTAAAAAAAATCGGAAAAGTTGATTTATATCGTTAAAAAAAAATTCTTGAAACAAAATAAAACGAAGAAACAAATTACCTTTTGTAATGAAAGATCTTCATTAAACTGTTTTATAAACTGTGTCATAGGATTGGAACTAGTAGAACATTCTGCTCCATTAACAATACTTTGGAATGCCATGTTACTATGAATTGTTTAAAGAAAAATTTAAAAAAAAATTTTTAAATAGGAAAAAAAAAATTTATTGTATGATTGATTTTTATCATATAGTAATAGTAAATTGTATTATCCATTTTAGGACAATGTCAAAATTTTTACAGATCCCCAAAAACGGGTAGCACCAAAATCAACTTTTAAAAAAATGACGCTGAGTGAAAATTTTCGTACTGGACAGGAATTATTTAATCAAATAGAAAACAATAATCTTTCTTCTTCTGATACTACTTGTCAGGTTTACAATTGTTCAATAATAACAATAATATTATTAGTTTTAATGATGATTATTCTTTTTTCTTATTAAAATTTTATAAATCATTTTTAGGATCAAATAAAAGATGTAATATCGCATTTTAGCAAATGTTTAGTGATGGTCAACCAATTAAAATTGTTTAGTTCTAATGAAACAATTGAAGATATTAATACTGGTGATTTAAGGTAAGCATTATCATTGACATTAATTTGTGATGATTTTGCGCGAAGAATTAACTAACACCAAAGGGATTTAATATTTGAATGATGTTTAGATTTCTTTTGTTAGAGGCATATCTTGGAGATTTAACCGTCAAACTTACTATTGGTAATAGATCTGAAATATTGAATATAGCAAAGGTTATTATTAATCACAACAATATCATTTTATTGTATCAGACAATATATAATAATAATTTATTATTATTGTAGTCACATCTTGAACAATTTCTAAGAAACTTGGAAGTACATAAAATTCTTAAAGACATGGTCAGTACTACACATTATTTTTGAAATAATATGTTCAAAAAGTAAATTTTTTCTCTCCAAGGTAGGATAGACAATATATCGAAGATCAGTTTAGCGGAGTTAAAAAAGATCCTGCTAAAAAACGAGAAGAAAAAATAGCAAGATACAAACGGGAAAAAGAGACTAAAGCAAAAGTTGAGGTAAATCAAAAACAAATCGATCAACCACCGATTCCGCTAATTTTATTCATCAAGACCACTCATCTCATGACATTTAATTTTTTAATTTTAATTTGAATATAGGCATTACATCAACAATTATCTTCTAGAAAAGATAAAGGAAAAAGTAAAGATGAAGATGATTATGATGATATCAATCGAGATTATGTCTTAACACTTATCGACCTATTCACACAGAAATCTATTGAATCACTAATATTGATTAATCAAGAACTTAATTTATTAAATAATATGAAAAAAGTCCAAGAGCAAAAAAATTACAATGAATCATCAACGTCGTCACTAAATGATGATAATAAAATTGAAGAAATTTCAAGAAATAATGAAGGGCCGTTATTATCAAAAGAAGGAAAGGTGAGTATGTGAGTGATTAATGTAGGAGGGAAAAGACTTTATACATATAATATATAATTTATTAATTGTACTTGTTTTGGCGAATTGATATATATTAATTTATTTTAGCCACTTAGATCTTTTATAATTACAAATCAGCGTGAAGAAATACTTCAAAAAGTTTTTAGGCCAGGTTGGAGATTACCAACTATGACAATTGATGAATATCTTCAAAAAGAAGCTGAAAGAGGAAATATCATAAGTGGTGGAGGGTATGTTGTTTTCTTTTTTATTTGTGATGAAAATAATTTTTGATATGTGCTAAAGAATTTTATTAAAAAAAAAAGGAACATGCCAGAAAAAAAGGAAATCGATGACGATGATGAGCAAGCTGTTAACGCCGAAACATATAAAGCAAGGGAATGGGATGAATTTAAAGATGCAAATCCACGAGGATCGGGTATAATAACTTTATTGATATATATAGTGTGTGTTATGCAACATGTAATAAGACTAATTAAAATATTGCTTATATTTAGGAAATCAAATGGGCAAAGGCTAATTAATTCATATATTGTAGAAGATGAAAAGTTATTCACTAAAACAACAATGTTATTTATTTTTGCACTTGTATTTATTATTATTCATCACATTAATATAATTATAAACCTTTTTTTTTTAACACTACTAATAATAACAACTACCAATACAGAAATTACGTGAAGAATGAATGCTTTTTTGCATAAAGATTATTATCATCATCATCAATTAATTTTAAAAGAATAATAATGTTATTTCGAAGGTTTCTGTATGACCATTTTAAAAAGTAACTTTGTAATTGTATAGAATGGATCCCAAATTTCATTGTGATATATAGTCAATTGGTTGCTGAGTTCTTGAACATGTTTTTACTATGGTACTATACTCGGAAGTTAAAAAATTAAAAATTACATTCCCAAATTTGGTAATGATTTTCTTTAATGTGATATTAATATAGTGCCAATCATCTAAAGACATCACAAAATGTTGCCAATCTTTGCAATGAAAATAATGTATAGAGTTTTGAGTTATTTAGTAAAAAAAAAAGTTATAATGGTTTAAAGTTGGGTGTTATTTGAAACCTCGACAATTATACAACTTACTGATTGTTCACGTGACAAAGTGGCAGATCCCTTACAAATTTGGATTTTTTGGCGAGTGGCGCAGCACGTGATGTCTTTAGATGACTTGCACTATATATAATATTAATATGTAATTATTGTAATTAATTACCACTTTTCCTTTTAAAAATGTAATTACGAAATTAATTGCGTGCGACTAAATTAATTATGGGTGACGAAACTAATTACGGACGATGAGGGGTAACAAAATTAATTACGAATAACAATGAATAAATATCAAAGAAATCGAAAATTTCCTATAGAACCCGTTGTTTTAACACTACACTGGTTAACCAACGTTAGAACCTTTGCTTTATACCAAAGCAAATAAACAAAACCTTGGAGTTCTATATATACCACTTTGATAACCAAATGGACAATTTAAACCCTACTGTTTAATTTCCGACCACAAAAATGTTTTTATAAGCGAAACTAATTATTTATGTGTGAAATTATTTTTACAAGTGAATTATATTAAAATAATAAACAAATATTTCTGCCTCTACTTATTAGCAAGGCTCTGAAATATTAATTAGTTAACCTGATTTTTTTTTCACTTAGTCAAAAGTGATTTTTTTTTGTAATGATTTTTTAGATCAATTAAAATAAAATGTACTATCAGAAAGTTCGGCCAATTTTATTGTTTACTTGTAACCTGACCGCTTTTCGTCCTCACAATATCAATCAATATGTAATTTTTTTATATTTAAAGAACATTTTAGGATAATAAAATAACAATTTATATTTTTACAATAATTAAAGTGCCTGTTTGTAAAAAACATGTTTATTTAAGTAAAATCATTCATGAAGACAATGCCTTTCATTAAAATGAATTTTTTTTACTTCAAGGACAAAATATTGTTTATGGTTTAACAAAAATTGAAAAAATTGAAAATTCTATGTTAGTAGTACTTTATAAAGTGCAAAAAGTATATTTTATTTTTTTAAATATAAAATATAGAATGTAGAATTTATGGATTTTACATCACCCATAATTAATTTCTTCTGCAATGAATAATTTCGTTACTCGTAATTAATTTAATTAATTTTGTCACTCGTCGCGCGTAATTAATTTCGTAATTACGTATTACGTATTATGTTTTTTATACATCACCTAGTCGCTTTAAAATAATAACCTTACGACTGCTGATATTTTGATTTGTTGCTGATATTTCTAGTTCTTTTTTCTTGGCTTGTTTTTAATTGTTTCTCTTTATTTTCAATAATTTATCATCTAGATTACTAAATTGCAATTTCTTGGTTCTTTTTTCCTAATCTTTCTCAACTAACTTTTCCTAGTGTCTTTTAGATTGAATAATAGTAATAGATGCTCGATAGACTTGCGTGTGTAGCAGAAAATGATATTAAACAATGTTATCACATTCACCTTTACATTAAATACATACTTTCCTTGCGGTATAAACTAAAAATTGATAGAAAACTGTATAAAACATGCATTAGAAGCTGTAAAATATGCAAAAGATCTTTTGAGTCAGGTGCAGCCACCTTAAATATAGTTGATTATACTAATAACTTTGAAGGCGCCTGTATTAGTAAAGTCTACGATGGACTGTATTCGTTACTTAAATAATTTTGAGTAGGGCTATGAATGCATATGACATTTATTTTATATTTTATCACTGTTATAAAAGTTTAAATTAAAAAAAATTTATTACAAACTAATTTGCTTTAATAATTAATTAATTAATTAATAATAATAATAATAATAATAATAATTATTATTATTATTATTATTTGATTTTGAGTATATATTACTATTACTTATTGTTATCATTATATCATCTTACCGAACATCTTTTCTTCTTTCCTCCTCTTCCACGCACACTCTAATTAAGAAGTAAAAAAAATAAAATAAAAATGACATTATTATTGAAAAAAGATGGTGATAATTAATTATTATAAATATTAAATATTATTATTATACTGCTATTACAATCACCTACTCCACTAACAATTAAATAATTGTTACAAAATATTACTAACAATTATAATAATGATAGTACCAATTTTCTTTAGATTATTAATCTAAGTTTAAATATCAATGTTGGTATAAATTCCAAGAATTCTAGTAAAACTGTCATCAACATATTGAAAATATAATCAAATAA